AACTACATCAATAAATATACAACTACCAACTACATCAATAAATACTATCTAGAATATTCTACATATTCTACACTCCCCCTCAAGTTGGGAGATATATATTGATCATTCCCAACTTGCTGATCAAATTCTCATAGGTCGGCTTAAGTAATCCTTTGGTGAGGATATCTGCCGTCTGTTCCTTAGTAGGTATATATGTTAAGCATACACTACCGTCTTCTAACTTCTCTTTGATAAAGTGACGATCAACTTCCACATGTTTTGTTCTGTCATGATGAATAGGATTTTGAGCAATGTTGACAGCAAACTTATTATCACAATATAATCTGATAGGTAGGGAATAAGAGATCTTCAACTCCTTCAGAAGCCTTCGTAACCAAATTCCTTCACAAATACCATGGGCTTTAGAGCCCGAAATTCCGCTTTTGCACTGCTTCTTGCAATAACAGCTTGTTTCTTACTTCTCCAGGTCACAAGGTTTTCCTAGACATAAGTACAATATCCTGAAGTAGATCTTCGGTCCATTGCAGAGCCAGCCCAGTCTGCATCTGTATAGATTTCAATCATCCTTTTGTGCCCCTTTTTAAAGAAAATTCCTCGACCAGGGGTATTTTTGAGGTATTTGAGAATTCTATAAACAACACTAAGGTGTTTTTCCTTAGGAGAATGCATGAATTGGCTAACCATGCTTACAACAAAAGCAATATCAGGACGAGTGTGAAACAAATAGATTAATTTCCCCACTAGTCTCTTGTACTGCTCCCTATCAACATCTTCCCCGTCCTCAACTCCCATCTTGATATTAGCTTCAATTGGAGTCTCTGCTACCCAAGCATACCTGTTTCTTGCAACAGGTCTAGAATGTATTTTTTCTGAGTTAAAGAAATTCCTTCCTTACTCCGAGCAATTTTCATGCCATGGAAATATTTGAGAGATCCAAGATCTTTTAGTTCAAACTGGTCAGCTGAACATTTTTTTAAAGAGGTTATCTCCTCGCTATCATTACCAGTGACAATTATGTCATCAACATAAACGATCAGAATAGCAATTCTTCCTTTGTCGGAGTGTTTAAAAAATAAAGTGTGATCAGTCTGAGCTTGGGTGAACCCTTTTCCCTTAACAGCTTGAGTAAATTTCCCAAACCATTTTCTGGGAGATTGTTTAAGTCCATAGAGAGACTTCTGCAACTTGCACACAGAACCATCCCCTTTTTCTAAACCAGGAGGTGGATCCATGTAAACTTCCTCATGTAGATCACCATTCAAGAAGGCATTCTTAACATCTAACTGTTGCAATGGCCAATCAAGGTTGGCGGCAAGAGATAGCTGAATGCGGATAGTGTTAAGTTTGGCAACAAGAGCAAATGTCTCCTGATAATCTATCCCATGAGTCTGAGTAAATCCCTTAGCAACTAATCTGGCCTTATACCTATTGATGCTTTTGTCTGCATTGAATTTTATTGTGAACACCCACTTGCAACCAACAGTTTTTTTTCCTTTAGGTAATGTCACAAACTCCCATGTTCCATTTTTTGTAAGTGCATCCATTTCTTCTAATACTGCATTCCTCCATTTTGGGTCATCAAGTGCTTCTTGGATATTTTTGGGTATCCTGGTACTATCTAACATAGTGTTGAAAGCACGAAAACCTGGAGACAACTTTTCATATAAGATATAATAGGAAATAGGATGAGCAGTGCAAGATCTAGTACCTTTCCGAAGAGCAATAGGCATATCAATGTTGGTTGTACTAGTACATTCAAGTGGGTTGCTGGAACTAGGACTCGAGTCAGGATCCTGGCAGTCTAGAGTATCTTCATGTGTTTTGCGTCTGCTGTAAAATATTCCCCATTTACCAGGAGGATCACAAGGAGGATCATTAGATTCAGGTATAGTTGCTCCCCCTGTTTCCTTCCCAATAACTCCCCCTGTTTCCAAAGGCCAAGGTAAGACAACAACATCATTTGGTTTCCCAGGCTTATCTTCATCCATACCAATACCAATAGACTCCCCCTGAAGAGAAGTCGGGGAAAAAAATGATTGTGTCTCATAAAAGGTAACATCCATGGAAACAAAAACCTTACGGAGAGAAGGTGAGTAACACTTATAACCTTTTTGATTAGGGGAATATCCTATGAAGACACATCTAACAGATTTAGGGTCAAGTTTGGACCTGTGATGTGGAGGAATATGCACAAAAACCACACAGCCAAATATTCTGGGAGGAAGAGAAGAAACAACACTGAAAGAGGGAAAACATTTAGTAAGACAAGATAAAGGAGAATGAAAATTTAGTACCCGAGAAGACCATTTTGTTAAGGGGTGTTAGGACAAGAACTTTGATGAATAATTCCATGCTGGTTTAGGTAATCTCTAAGAACAGAATTAAAATATTCAGTAGCATTGTTTGTTCGCAGAATTTTGATAGAGGTCTAGAATTGAGTTTGAATCATAGCATGAAAGTTTTTAAAGGTGGATGCCGCATCAGACTTATCTTTCAAGAGGTATACCCAACATACTCTAGAATGATCATCAATAAAAGTAATAAACCAACGAGCACCCGAGACATTTTTTTCATGAGCAGGTCCCCAAATATCACTATGAATCAATGTAAAGGGAGAAGATTCATGATATTTTTTAGGATAATAAGTGGCACGAGAATGCTTTGCAAGCTGACAAATATCACAAAGAAGGGAACTTGGCTTTTTATTGATGAACAAGTTCGAGAATAACTTCTGAAGATAGACAAAATTTGGGTGTCCTAACCTACGATGCCATAACAAAACATCATTACAGTCATCTGATAAACATAGAGTGGTTCGAAAAAATCCTCTTTTCACAAGGATCCTTTTTAAAATAGTAGAGCCCTTCTTCCTCTCTAGCACTGCCAATCATCGTCCCCGAGTCCTGTTCCTGAAAGGTACAAGCATTTGCAGAGAACTTAGCAACACAATGCAACTCAGCAGTAAGTTTGCTAATTGAGATGAGGTTACAGGTAAGAGAGGGAACATGAAGGACTGAATTCAAAATAATATGCTCAGAAAGTTTAATGGATCCCTTCCCCGCAATAGTGGAGAAATTCCCATCAGCTGTTCTTATTCGTGACAGGTGATAGTAAGGGGTATAGGAGAAAAATAAGGTTGCATTACCTCTTATGTGATCAGAGGCCCCTGAATATAGGATCCAACGATTACTAAGTTCAACATGGAATGCCATACCTTTTTAAGCAACATGACTAGTTGCCTCGGCAGGTTGAGATATCAGTTTCTGAAATTGCTCATACTGGGCCTTAGAGAGGAAAACACCATCAAGGTTTGAAGCGACATGAGACACCTCCCCTTTATCTTCGGAAGATACTTGATTAGCACGATTCTTGTTCTGTCCTTTTGGTTTCCAGTTTGGTGGTTTTCCATGAGTCTCCCAACATTTTTCACGGGTGTGACCACCCTTATTGCAATGAGAACACCAACGGTCAGAACGTTTTGAGTCCCCAGAAGGACGAACAATATTCTTTGCTATAAGGGCAGACCCATCAAAGGACTTAGAGTCGTTATCACCCAACATTACTTTTCGGCGAAGCTCCTCCCTTTGTACTTCAGAAAAAGCAGTAGCAAGGGAAGGTAATGGGTTTTGCCCCAAAATTCTTCCACAAACATCATCTAGATCAGAATTAAGGCCAACAAGAAAATCATAGAGACGCCTTTTCTCTATATAATTTTTGAACCTTGCATTAGCTTCTAAACCTTGAAGGTAGACGCTTTATCATAAAGATCCAACTCTTGCCACAGTGTTTTTAGAGCAAAGAAGTATTCAGTAACAGTCATCCCTCGGCGTAATTCTTTCACCTTGGTATTGAGATCAAAAGCCTGAGATGCATTGCCCAGGTCAGAGTAATATTCTTTAACAGTTTCCCAAATTTCTTGAGCTGTATCAAGAAATAAATAAGTTTGACTGATATCTGGTTCCATAGAATTAGTCAGCCATGTCATGACTAAAGCATTTTCAATCACCCAAGCATCATAACCAGGTTCACGTTCTGTTGGTTTTACCTTTTTCCCGTCGAGATACCCCATCTTCCCTTTAGCCTGGATAAACAACTTAACAGATTGACACCATTGCACATAGTTCCTACCGTTTAAACGGTGACTGGTGATCTTTATTGCTGGGTTGTCTCCAGAAGACGAAGAGTTGGGAAGGGGTGAGGTTCCAGACGAAATTTCAGAATTTCCAGCATCCATGGCTTTCTAACAGGTACCCAGAAAAAAGTTCCTCCAAATACGATTTTGACCCTCAAAACAAGAAGAGGGTTGGCCGCAGTGAAACAGTAATTGCTACAGTGATGAACAGTACTGCTACAGTGATGAACAATACTGCTACGGGTCTTCTGTGGGCTGGCTCAGAATTTTGTTCTGAACCTAATGGTGGCCTTGGTTTCGTGGTTGGAGGTGTCTAGGTAAGGATTCTGGCTTGGGCAATGGTTAGAACGAAAAAAAGGAATAGGAAAATGACTTAAAAATAAATCAGAACGGGGAAGAGACTGGAATATAACCAGCTCTTGATACCATGAAGAAAAAGAAGAAGTAGAAGTAGTGTTTTGTCTGAATAATACTTTCTTGATTCATTGAGAGACCCAATGGGTCCTTTTTATATTAAGTACATCCAACTACCTCAATTACTTTAATAAATATGCAACCTCCAACTACATCAATAAATATACAACTACCAACTACATCAATAAATACTATCTAGAATATTCTACATATTCTACAATTTTTAACGTGCACCCTGCACTTTAGAGAATAATGTGCAGTTGACTTTTGAGAGAAATTCATCTTGTATAATGTAATTAAGTGCTGTAAGATTGATTTTGTTTTGCACAGGAGTCAGTAGATCCTAAGTTTCTATCCCTATATATGTATGTATATCTATGCATATTTACGTGTATATGCATGTATGTATATTTTTAGTTTTAAACTTTTAAATGATATAGAAACCTTTTTCTAGTGTTGTGCAGCTTGTGGATTGGCATTATTCCTTTTGCCCTTGCTCTTGTTTCCCTTTTACAGCAGTGGTCATAATCCCATGGTACCTATCGTAGATCATTTTAGTTTTATCATATTTTTTGTGTACATATCATCTTTCTTATTGTATGTGTGGTGGCTAAATGCCTATATGGGAGACAGGTTTTGGATGTACCCCCAACCTCACCTTTGTCTAGTTATTTAGCTCCTGGTGATCTTATTCTCTCAGTGGATAATGTACCCATCAGAAATGCACAAGAGTGGTTGAAGCTTAATACATTGACATATAACATCAAGCTTAATAGCGTAAATATTTCCCAGCACACTGCAGATTTGGGGGTTGTGAATAAAATGAAGGGTTATTGTGTCCCTAGTTTTATGATGGAAGAAAGCAAAGTTACTGAATTGCTGGAAAATCAACACGCTTGCCCCAGTGAACTTACTGCCTTTGTAAAAGTTATATGCTCTGCTAATATGACACTGGATGATGGTCAGAGCAAAACTGATATTTCAAACAAGGGATGGAATATGTACTGCTTAAACGCTAAAGATGTTGTCAAACTTAAGAAGTGTGGTGATGACTGGGGGCTTGCTACAACAAAGGGAAGTGGCTGTGCGTGCTCTCAGGTAGACAATTGTCTGAATGTTTAACCTTTCTAATTTATGTTCACTCTCTTGCTTTCACGTTGTACTCAGGACATTAAGTAAAGTTATTATAGCTACTGAATTTTCTTTTGATATTTTTTGCAGGATGAGTTTTGTTTGGCTCCAGTTCAGGAGCCTGGATTGGTATGGGTTGAGATCACTTATTCAAGTCCTCATGAATGTTCGTTTCATGAACGAAACAGGTTTCCTGTTTCTGAAACTTCTGGCCTTAAGAAAACTAATTGTGGTGGGACTTTTATTTTTGTCGGTGATCTCATCTCCATGGCACATTCAATTCAGCTAACATCATATCAGCCTCGCTGGGGACTAAAAGTTGCTACATATTTTCCAAACTCACTGGAAAGGATTTTAATATGGACATTCCATGTCTCTCTAGCTCTGGCTCTTCTCAATAGTTTGCCGGTAAGTGATGAACATTTTCTTGCTTATGTTAGGAATTGCCTTATATCAAGCATTTGTTCTGTGTTTCCGTATTACAAGCAGAAATTGTCCATAAATATAGAGTTGAATAGAACAAACTGAAATATTATTAATCTAATGTGTAACAATGGGTACATATTTATAGACAAGCTAAAGGACCCAAATGAGTAAACCCAAATTCTAAAATACAATTTGACTCATAAAGAAAACAATTTGACTAATAAAGGAAACAAATCAATACAGATATTTTCTATATTCACAACACTCCCCCTAAAGCTGAGAAATGAATATTTATCATTCTCAGCTTGCTAATAAGTTCTTGAAATTTGTTGGTGGGAAGCCCTTTGATTAGAACACCAACTAGTTGACGATTAGAGGGAATGTAAGTAATCAGTCCGCTGTTTAGGTTTTTCTTAATGGCAGTCAATCTCTATGTATTTTGTTTGGTCATGTTGAATTGGATTTTGTGCTATACAAATGGCAGACTTATTGTCACAAAACAGCTTCATAGGTTCTTCATACTTTACTCTGAGATCATCTAGAATAATCTTCAGCCATAATAGTTCACAGATGCCCGGATTCGTAGCTCGGAACTCTGCCTCTGGACTTGATCGAGCAACCGTATTCTGCTTCTTACTCCTTCGTGACACTAGGTTACCACATAGAAACATGCAATATCCAGAAGTTGAACGTCGATCAGTTACAAATCCTACGTAGTCCTTATCAGTCTAAACTTCTAGGGGTATGCTTCCTCCTTTGTGAAATAATAACCCTATCCCAGGAGTAGCCTTGAGGTACTGAAGAATTCTCTCTATGGATGCAAGTGTCTTTCCCTTGGATCATGCATGAATTGACTAACTATGGTAACAACATAGACCAGATCCGGTCTATATGGGCCAAATAGATTAGTCGTCCCACCAATCGTTGATATTGTGCTTTGTCAATTGGGGGGATTTCCTCCTCATTCCCCAACTTGTGATTTTGTTCAATAGGGGTGCTAGTGGCTTTACACCCAAGCTTTCCAGCCTCTTTCAAAAGATCAAGTGCATATTTGCACTGAAAAATAAAAACACTTTGCTTGGAATAGGCTACCTCAATTTCTAGGAAATATCTCAGCTTCCCAAGGTCTTTGATTTCAAATTCGACAATTAATCTCTCATGCAATAGTTATCTCTCAATTGGATTATCACTTATTACAATGATATCATTTAGATAAACAAGAACATTTAGTTTCCCTTGCCGGGTATGTTTGAAAAATAAGGTATGATCTCCTTGACTCTGCTTATATCCAAACGATGTCATGACGTTAGTAAACCTTCCAATCCAAGCTCAAGGAGATTGTTTTAAGCCTTATAGGGCCTTTTTCCATCTACAGACTTTGTCTCCCCCAGTCATAGAGTCAAAACTTGCGGGAATCTCCATGTAAACTTCCAATTAACCAGTGAGGAATGCATTCTTCACATCATATTGATTCAACTCCCAGTTGAAGTAAGCAACAAGAGACAACAAAATCCTCACTATGTTCATTTTGACTACTGGAGCAAATGTCTCTTGATAATCAATGTCATAGGTTCCCCGTTGCTACTAATCTTGCCTTGTACCTATTTACGAGTACCATCGAAACGATATTTTAGGGTATAGACCTATCTTCAAACTTCACCCCACTGCCTTTTTTTCGCTTAGCCTATCAACAATTTCCCATATCTTATTTTTCTCCAATGCTTTCATTTATTCATGCATGACTTGAACCCAATTCTCATATTTCAAGGCTTCTTTCATTGATGTGGGAATTGTGATAGAGTCAAGAGCTGAAATGAAACTTTCATGTTGTATAAAAAGGTTTTTAGATGAGACATATTGGGAAACAGGGTGTTGGGTAAAGGATCTTCTTCCTTTTCTTAAGGCAATTGGTAAGTCATCAGAAATAGAAATGTTAGTGTCAAGTTCGAAATAGGGATAATTGTGTTTTCAGTATTTATCAGTGGTTCAGGCGTTGGCGGTAGCTGCTAGGGTAGAGTGAGGTCTTTCTTTCTTTGATATAGCAACTTAGGTGTCCCTGCCTTCTTTAGTTTGTGCTTTGGTAGGCTGCCAAGGCTCATGTCTTTGTCATATGTTGAATCTTGCTCATCATGCGATACAATCATAAGCTCTGAGGCAGACTGGGAATGTAAGGGCTCTATGGTAGACGGAGAAGGTAAAGGCAAAGGAGAAAGCTTAGGCTCAAAAGACTTGGTCGAAACTTCCAAGTTACTCTCCCCTGAAGGTGAGGACGAGGATAGAATGACTCATCTACATGAAAGGTAACATCCATGGAAACGAAACTTACGACTTTGAGGGTGATAACATTTGTATCCCTTTTTATCTGGAGTATAACCTAAGAAGATACATTTAATATCCTGAGGATCCAACTTCAGCTTACTTCGGTTTTGTTTAAGAATATGGACAAAGGCCACACACCTAAAACTCGAGATTATAGGCTTTGCTGGATAGGAATAGAAGGGAAAAAGGAATTCATAACATTCAGAAGACTTATAGAACTAAGAACCCGGGATTGGAGTCGTTGATCCAATAAGCCGCAGTTAACACAGCCTCTCCTCAATAAGAGCTGGAAACAAAAGTCTGGAAAAGTAAGGCTCGTGTAACTTCGAGCAAGTGATGGTTCATTCTTTTAGTAACCCATTTTGTTAAGAAGTATCAACACGTGAGCTAATGAATCATGCATTTGTCTTTAACAAATTGTGATAGGTGTTGGTTGAAGTACTCAGTTCCATTATAAGACCGTAATCGTTGAAGACATTTACCAAATTGTGTTTAAATCATGTGATAGAATTGAACAAATTAGATTGGCACCTCTGACTTGTCGCGCATAAAAAATATGCATGTTATTCGAGTACAATCATCGTTAAAAGTGACAAACTGTCTTGCCCCAGAGATATTACTTATTTTTTGGGGAACCTAAACATCATAATGAATAAGATCAAAAGATTCAATACTTTTTATTGCAGTATAAGGAAAGGAAACATGATGTTTTGCCAGTTCACACACTTCACGATGAAAAGACTCAACAAACTGACTCTTAAAGAAAGAAGAAAACGTTTTCCAAAAAAGAAAAAAAGAAAGAAAGAAGAAAACATATTTCTAAGCAAACTAAATGGTGGATGCCTTAGACGCTTGTGGTGAAGCCTGACTGTAGATGATAATGACTCCAGTCATTAGTGACTGCTCTCAAGTTTTATTCGCTGCATCTTCTGGAAAGAGATAGTACAACCCACCCTGCTCCTTACCTACTCCAATTGTCCTCCTCGTGGTGAGAACACTGAGTGGGAAAGAAGGTTAATGCACAATTCATATTAGTGGTAAGTTTATGTGCAGAGGCAAGATTAATGGAGAGCTTGGGAACATGAAAAATATTTTTAAAGGTATGTGGAAGGTTGTATTAAGTCACCAAAACCCGCAACTGATGTATGTGATCCATTAGCGACAAATATAGTACAAATAACAAAAGTAGGTTGATAAGAGAAAAAAATCCAAAAGGCATGTTATATGATTAGTTGCATCAGAATTGTCAACCTTTGACCTTTTGGAATCAGTGCAAGAAGCAAGAAAAGATTGAGCACATGATTTCTTACCAGTCATAGCTAGGGAACAAGTGTCAGGAGTTTTACTAAGAGTATCCATAAGGGTCAAAAGCCACCCCAGCTCCTCCCGGCTAAGAGCAGGAATATCGTCAGTTACCTGTGAAGCTTCCCCGCTTCTAGGGATGTCAAATTAGCCTGTCCGCGCGGGGCTGCCTTGCAAGATTTTCTAAAACTTGTCTCTTTCCATGGAGACAATTGGAAATATCTCTGGTGTGACCAAACTTCTTACAATAGGTGCACCAATGACCTTTTTTACTGGACTTGGAAGGATCCGAAGTGGTGGTCTCAGAGAAAGAGCCATTTGTAGTAGACCTAGACAAGATCAGAGCCAAACCTTCAGTAGGCTCAACATCCATCATAACACCCCTGCGACTTTCTTCACTTCTAACAATATGAAATAACTTATGAAAGAGATGGTAAGTTTTCCTTACCTAGTACCTGGACTCGAATATCATCATATTCTGAGTTAAGCCCATAGAGAAAATCAAAAGATTCGATCTCGTTCAACAAAGGATGCCAGGGTGGCAGAGTCTTCGCTAAATTTCATCTTTAAATTTTGATACTGGTCTAGCTCTATCCACATGCTATTCAGAATGCCATAACATTCTCTTACCAAAAGAGAGCCCTTTCTAGTAGAGAAAATTTGGTTTTTTCACTTATAACAGGTTATGTCCTTTTTCATGGAATGTCTTTTGAAGTTCTTCCCATATCTTAAATGTAGAGGGCAAGAGCATATAATGTCGGCTCACCTTAGGAGTCATGGAATTCCACAACCAAGTCATGATAAGAGAATCTTCATCATCCCACTCCTCAAAATTAGGGTTTATTTTGGCAGGGACAAGTCCTTCAATGTGGGTCAGGTTATGACGTCCTTTGAGAATAGTTCGAACTAATTGAGACGAAGACAGGTAATTTTTTCCCATGAGAGGGTATGTCTGAGGCAACATCATGAGATCATTGGGGCTAAGCAGCATGACCATGGCAGTTTTTTTGGAACGGTATAGCCAGTTTGGGTCAAAGTTATCAAATGCGAATTGCGGCATGTTGCGGCCAACCCCGAAAAACGCTATAGCGTTATAGCGGGTTGTGGTTGCGGAAATAGCAGAATAGATATATAACATAAATAATGACAAAAAGAAACATTTTTTAAAGGCAGAGATAACATAAGTGATAGAGAGAGATGCAGATAGACTAAAAAACCCTTTAGGGAGAAAAGTTGACTATAGATTAGTAGATCAGAGAACAATCTGAGTCAGTTCACTTCCATTTCATGTTACTAGTAACAAAACTCTGAAGGCATACATTCATGTCTCAATAATATCAAATCTTCCATGAGTAAATACTTTTTTTTGGCCTAGGATGTCGTATACTTAGCTGAAAAAGGTCCGGTGGAAGGGGTTGCAACTCTTGCATTGTATCAATCTCCTTAATTTACATGTTGACACTTAAAGAAACTGTGATTTAGTTTGTTTTATGCCTTGCAAATTGAAATTTAAAGAAATGATTTGGTTTGTTTATGCCTTACAAACTTCTATTGTTAATGGAGTGACAAAGATGTGGAACGTTTGTGAAAACCTTTTGTTGTATCAATTCTCATAAGAGAATATGCTTATTGTTGCTATTGTTGAATTTCCTCTAATCATGGTGATATTGTCAGGTGCATTTTCTGGATGGTGAATCCATTTTAGATGCAACTTTATCCCACTTTACTTCGTTAAGCCCAAGGAAGAGGAAGAAGGTTCTTAGATTATGCCTCCTTGGTGGGTTACTTATTACTATTATTGGCTTTATCAAGGAACTCCTTTAATTGTTTTTTGATATCATCATTTTCTTTTTATTTTTTATTTTTTTAAATGAGTATGGGAACAGCTCAACTCCTTGAACGAAAACTGAATGTTCAAAATTTTGGTTGTAAACTAGTAGGAATTAACTTCACACACACGGGGTAAAAATTAACACTTAATAAAATGTGATTTTGATTGATCCAATATTTGAATGATTAAGTAAATATATATGATAAGAATGGTCACCAAGTAAGAAGAACAATATGTATTGTTATTGATAATGGTGAATCAGAGGGGATTCACTCGAAACAGAAGAATCATAGACGCAGAGAAGTTACAGACAACAGATTACAGACTCCAAACCAGAACCTACAAGGTGGGTATGCCTATTCCAATCTCAGTGCCCAATGGTCCCAAGTTCCCAATCATTCCAAAATCCCCTTCCAATTGTTGTCCCCCTCCTTTTATTCACACCCCTCTCCCTTTCATAGACATTAACCTCTTAACCACCTTAATTAATTAAAGGTGACTCGGCTATTCTAACATCATCATTAGCAATGTGGTCGTAACCCTTTATGCTTTCTCCTTCCAATTTAACCACCTTGTAGGGCAAAATATAATTTCGTCCTTATTTTAAATGTGTAACAGAAAACATTTAATGGTTTTAAAGTCTTTTTTGGATTTAACCCTAACTTACTCCCTTACTCCCTTTTCTCTCTGTCTCTTGTGCATCTCCCCCCCTCTCCTTCTCTCATTGTTATCTTTGCTTTGCCTCTCTCGCTTTGTGCTCCAAGCTCTTTTCCTAAATAAATTACTCCTATGTAAAATATTTTAAACCTAGTTTGGCTTATTAGACTAGTACAAGCTAAATTATAGGTTTGTTTTGGCTTGCTTTTAAAAAATGTAAGGCTTGGTCCGGTCTATCAAGCCTATTAAGCCTTCAAAAATGACATATTGCACTCTATAAATCATAGGTTATGATTGCTATACTTTTGCATGTTTAAATTGATGGAAAGTTGATGTAGTACAATAGTTGAAGCCGCATCACAAAATATTGACAATTTAACTATGTTGTTAGTAATCGAAAACAAAATATAATAAGGATACGTGAGACTTAATTAAATTTCATAACAAAGAAACATATTCACTCATTCATGTATTACATACTCACACTCGACCTAAAAGAAAATTGTGATGATGGAAAAAGTAAAAAAAGTTAGATAATAAATTGTTTAGCAACGCCATTGAAACTTCATTAAGAGATTCAAATTTTGTTAATTTTTTTGCTTTATCCATAACTCATCGAAGGGTAGTAGTCTAGGAGGAGGGTTAGAGAAGTTAAAAAATAATAAAATATTATTTTATTATAAATATGCAAGCTAGATCTAAAGACTTGTATGCCAGACTTTTTAAAATAGGCTTGTGACTTAATTTCTAATTTTTTTTTTTAATAAGTCCAAGCTTATACTATTTTTAAAATGGATTAGGCCAAGCCCAACCAAAGACGGGTCAAGTAATTGGCCTTTGATAAGTTATCTAACCTGTTTACACCCCTATTTGTCGGTCTTCTTTTTCAAAATAAAATTTGCAAGGTTGTTAGTAGTAATTTCTTAAGCTACTAATTTGTTGACTCACTACTATCCAACACTCAGCTTGGACCATAAGGTTAACAAAACCAAGATTAACCAATGAACTAAGAAAGTAAGAAGAATTAAATATATTTATTTTACTTTGTCTTAATTATGGATACTGATGTAATTTGGTAATTATCACTATAATATATATAGTAATGTAGGATATAGCTATTAGGGTATTGATATATCCTTTAAGCAGCCAATTGGATTTATATTCTAGGGTAAGGGTGGGTAATTATTTATCGATTTCCAAGCCAAACACAAAGGGTTTGGGTTAGTTCTTTAGTACCTTTATCCAGTGGCGGACTCAAAAAATTACATGACGGGGAGTGAAAATTTATATTACTATTATGAAAAGGTAATGTTAATTTTGGTTGGATGATCATGCTAAGAATACAAAAATACCTATTAAGAAGAACATAATAAAATTACAGAATTTTTGGCCAATTTTTTGGTTGGAATGTCAATTTTTTATTTCCGGTGACAGTGGTCCACTGCACTCTCTATTTCAATGAGGAACTAGCTTAAGACCTTATATTTTGTTTGTAAGATCAACTTTTTTATTATTTACCTTCATGTCTTTTGGTGTTATAATTGCACTTTTTTTGATTTCTTTATAATCTTATTTTCTTCCTTAGCTGTTATTTAGCAGAAGACATAGTAGCATTTAGTCCTTATTTGTTGCATTTAGTCCCAACTAATAATTGATAACTATTATTGACTTTTTTTCTTTGCCAACAAAATCAAAACTTAAATACTCTTATCTTGAGTTCTGACATGATAATCTGTACAAATTTTTAATAATTATAAAAAAAGAGTCAACATAATACCCCAGCTCTATATGTATATCAGAGAGGAATAGAGTCAACCAAAGCTCAAATAAAGTCTACAAGATAATATCATTCATTGAAATATCTTTAAACCACCATCAAGACCATGGTTGGTACTAATTGTCACCTAAAATAAATATATTATTTTATTTTATTTTTAAGAATTAAATAGGTCAGCTTACAAGGCTTTAAGCCAGACTTGACAAAATTGAGCTACGGCCTATTTGTTAAAAATGTTTTTTTATAAGCCTAAGCCTAAGCCTACTTTACTTTTCAATGTAGGCCGGACTAGGCCAGACTCAATGTAGGCCGGGTTGTACGCTAGGTCAGGCCAGCCTGACCCATTGACACTACTACTTAGGAGAATAAACCCTCCTAACTGCTAGTCCATGTTTAGATCAATTTCTGAGGCCCATTCAGATAGTGGGTTTAGAACATATGAGTTTAACACACCGGCTTTTTCTATCTATGAATATAGTGTTATTCTTTTACTTGATTGGACGGATTGCTAGCACATCCTCGTAAGTTTGTTTCTTGCATTCTTATACAATAGGGAAAAGGTTCGATTACTATTTACTAGTATGAATTGAGATTAAGAAAAACAAAAATGCAGAGATCTTATTTCCAACGTTGAATTGATCTATATAACCATGTAATATCATAGCCATTTTTCTTGAGTCCTGCAATATATATGATTATCATAGCCATTAAAAAACCACAGTATAACCAGTTGCTTAGGCCCATTCTTGGTTGGATTTGCCCATGCTTAACAGGAAAATGATTTCAACTTTCACCTTTTGTCTATAACAAAGAATTTTCATGACTTTAACATCGTGAATCATTTTGTTGTGCTAAATTAGTAGCATCTATTTCTTTGTCATTGCTTATTTTAATTAGTCATTTATGTATATCAAGAGAAAGAAGTCGGATATTGTAATAATCAATTATGGTTACTACCAATCAATTTCACCGTTAGATCAATTATGTTAATCCAACGATTATATTTATTTTCATCTTTGTATGGTTATGATTCTCCATATTTAATACTTTATATTTTTTCACCTTTGTATGGTTATAATTTTTCATATTTAATGTTTTCACATTAAATATGGGGTCATCATTAAATATGGAAAATCATAACCACACAAAGATAAAAATAAATATAACCGTTGAATCAACATAATCGATCTAATGGTGAAATTGATTGGTAGTAATATTGGTAGTAAACCTGATTGGTTGTTACAATATCCTACCCCCAATAGAAAATACTTAATTTGTTTCATACAAATATTGCCGTAGTACCCAATTTCTCAATTTTTATTTATTTTTTAAAACTTGGATTTTTTGCTTCTTCAATAATATAATAAATTTTTTGGCTACTTTAAAGTGAGATACACTTTAGAAGATAAATTGTGGAGTTATAACTATTAATTAAATATCAACTATTCAAATTATGATAAAATACATACACATATAAAACAAATTATAAAGTTATTAAAATTCAATCCCTTGATTTTCAATCAATATATATTCTTGTTTATTTCACTCTCTCAAGTACAATTCCCACTTTTTTTTTTTTTTTTTTTTGATAACACACAATTCCCACTTTATAATGAATAGAATGTACTTAAAAAGTTCTTGGCTATCAGAGTGTAAAGAGGCGGAAATAAATTCTTTCATGTAAAAATAATAATAATATAATCACATGAGAAGATCACAACCATATAAATGTGAATTAACGGTTATTATTTTGTAACTACATATTTCAATATTTTCTTTCTCTCTTCTTTTATTACCATTGTTCCACTTTTGTATGATTATAATTCTCCACATTACCGTGTCATTTTTTTTTCTTATATAGTAAAAGTATCTTTGATTTTTTTTTTTTTGGGGTGGGGGGCATTAATTTTTCGTCAACCGTCATGTGCTGTCCTGTGAAGAATGTGTTTGTAACTAAATTAAACAAAAAAATTGCAACTTAAATAAGCAAAAATGCATATAATCGTTTGGATTTATTTATACCAGAAAAATTGATTAATTCAGTTTAATTTTCTTATCTTCAACTTAAGCAAATCAAGCTCAAATATAGTGTCAAAAGATTGTGGGGCAGGTAATTTGCAATCAACCTGCGATGAAATATGGTATTTGATCCATGTGGATCAAGGTCGTTGTTTGATCTATGGACTAGTAGTGTCTATGGAGGAGACAACTGATGGTGGCATATCATTGTGTACAAACAAGCTGCTAGAAGCTAAAATTGAGTATGTGTGTCCACACAATTATAACAATAAGGGGGCGTTTGGTACAGGAGAAATTTTTTTTTTGTCCAGAAATCTCAATTTTCAAAAATATAATTTTTACATTCAGTTTATGATAATATCTGAAATTTAAAATTTACAAAAAATTATTTTCCGAGAAATCCTAAAATAAGCCATGTACCAAACGGCCGGTAAGGGTTAAGGGTTTACATGAAGCATATATGTGAGGCTTAATCTAGTATTCATAGATGGTTTTACCCAAAGGTGAATCAAGTCCACTTCATATGTCCAAAGGGACCTAATACATAGGTTTAGAAAACATAGACTTAGGAATAAAAGCAGAGTTAAAAATATAAATTAGTCGGAGCCATTGAGATGAAATAAAGTAAAAAAACGAAAGGAGAAAGATGTAGAAATTAAATATTA